AGGGCGGCAGAGCCTGCTCCTGCTCGGGAGCTGGCTGGGGAAGGGGACGGCGCTCCTGCTCCCCAGGCGTGTTCCCAGGTCCCTGCAGCAGCCATGCCGAGGTGTGCAGCTGGGAGTCCAGGCTCGGGGAAAACGGGATGTGCTGAAACGCTTCGGGGGGGAGTCGCAGTGCTGGAGGATTCTGCAGCCACTGCTCTCTGCATGTGCTGCTTTGTTCTTCTGTCGGGTCCTCTGATGTGTGAAGCAGACACCTCAGAGGTGATTGAGTGTTCCTTAAGGATGGAAAGATCATCAGCTCAGTGTTTTAGGGTTAATTTTCTCAGACTGGGATGAGGACTAACAGCCAGCAGGCTCGAGGACGCAGTTCTCATTGTCTTCATGTGCCTCCTGCACGGATTAATTTAACAAGGTTATGAAAGAGCAGGCTGGAGTCTCTTCCCTAGCTACATCACTGCTCAGTGGTGTAAACAGCAAACGATATGCTGCAGGTCTGGGCGTTTAGTATTAATCTTGATTTGTAGGGCAGCAAAAGAAAATATTTGCCTTCTGTTAGCACGTTATAAAAATTCATGCCAAAATTTTGGTCAGCGGTATCTGGCTGTATCTGTACAGTACAGAGCAAACAGCTGAACAGGAGGTCTAGTAACTGTCCATGCTTAAGGTGAAAAATATTATTTTCAAAGTTTGGGGTTCTTGCTATAGAGCAGCTACACTAGATTTGACTGAAGTGTCCTAATAAGCTACTAACCTGTAGTTAAACTTCTAGAGTGTAAAGTTGCAAGAATACCTAAATGGAATAGGGGACGAGCTTTTCCTGTTCAATTATTTGTTATTTTTAAATAAACCTTGTATTTATTAAAAGCAATACCAAATCACATAATATCATGTTTTAAGCAAAATGGGAGCTTATTTTTAAGAAGTTTAGAATGTAAATATTTCACTACTCTGGAGTGCTCTCTGTACTCTGGGATTGAAAGAAATAATTGTCCTCTTGCTTGGTTGTACTTCAGATACTTCAGTTTGCCAATTCCTGCATTTTGTTAACTGTCCCCAGCCATTTTAGCTTTAGTAAAATTGCAGCCATAAGGTAAAAAAATTTGTCATCGTGAATGTAAGTCATAATTCAAATCTTCTCTTTTAATGTATTTTTAGACACTTTGATAGAATTTTTCTTCACAGGCAGTGTCGGAATTTGACTGTCACGCTTGGCAGTTTCACTGACGTGTGTTTGATCCAAATTCAGCACAGTTTTCTCCTGTCTTCTCAAAGTAGCCCTAATGAGAACGGGAAGAACTGAGGAAATGGAATGAAAAATGTGGCTAGACTAGCAAGCTAAATATTTCCTAAAAATTTAGTCCACCAACCTGCAATCATGGCAGTTCCAGCTACCATGGTCATTGCTCGGGTTTAAATTGTGATGGTTACTTGCTTGCTTTTCATAGTTTAAATATAACCTTGACAAATCTTCTGCCTGTTCTGCAGCCATTTTTGGCATATGGTCAATATGCATTTTTCTAGTTCTCAGTTGGGTAAGGTCTGGATTTTTTTATATTGCACTTAACTGAGGGCTCCATTATAGCCCAGTAGCTCTGACAATCTCAAAATGATATGGCACTTACTAAGAAAAAAGCTTTTTTTTCCTGGTTCTCTTCTCCTGTGTTAATTCCTACTGCTCAGTAAAAGTCAACCTGGTAAGAAATTATATCAGAGAATACTTACCACAACCTGATGCTCACTTCTTTGAAGTTACCTTAGCAAGAGGGGAAGAGGTTCATTGAAATAAGAAGCTATAAATGGGTCTCTGCCTGCCTTAAACCATATCTTTATACAAACATTTAATTTTGAAATGTTATTTTCTCTTCGGCCTGTGTGTTATCTCTTCTTTGTAAGTGAAAGCTAGGTGAAGATGGGACTTCCTGATGCAGACAAACTCTTACAACCATCTTCCTCTATTTTTGCTCCTTAACTGACACTCCAGCCTTCCATCCCTTGGAACAGGACAGCCTCTACTGCCTGCTTGCTCCCCTGTGGTGGGAGCCGTGGGGAGGAAACGGCCACAACCAGCCAGCCCTTTGCTACCCAATGCCAGAGAGCTTTTGTCTCCTCTTCCTACCAGCTCAAAGTTAAACATTGCTCTTCACATGGTTGCCAGAAGCCAGAGAACTTGCCCGGAGGGAGGGAGGGAGGGGCAGTGGAAGTTTTGGAAGGAGTGGGAGGAGGAGATGATGGCTGGAATTTTCCTGACATTTCTTGGGCTCTTCTCCTTTGGCAAGTAAATGCTCCCCATTTGAGGCCTGCTGGCTTACAGTAGCTGTTGGCACAGTGTCAGGAGCTACGCACCATTACACTGAAGCACACTAATTCTGTTGGCTTTGCAAGCACAGTTAAGAGCTGGTCATGCTCTGACAACCTTGACGATGCCCATTTGCTTTGCTGTCATTTTTTCTTCCAGCATCTAGAGCTTTGAAAAGCAGGAGCAGCCAGACTTACTTGCAGACCCAGCAGAAGTATCACAGCCAAAGTATGTATGAGAGTGTAAGCTCCAATCAAATGCTCTGGCAGGCTGACTTCCATCCTCTAGCCATGGACTTCAGTGAGCTTGCTGAGGAGCACACACTCATCAAATTCATTAGTTTCTGGAATGTGCAGTAACTTCCAGAGGGAAAAGTGACTGGCTGGTGCAACCTCTAATTATACCTGTGTCTCTGAGTGACAGAAAATGAGACAGGGTAGAGTAAGACAGAGGGAGAAGGAAGTTTACAGGAAACAAGACAGCCAAGATGTAACTGAGTATTTTAGAAGTTGTCTTGTATGACAGGTATTTTAATTAACCCTCCCTAAACATAACCAGCTCCAAAGGGATGATGCAGAAGGGGGAAGTTACTGCACAGTGGAGACTCCAGCAAGCACAGGATAGTGATAGTTTCTATACTGAAGTGACCATGAACAGAATGGTTCATTTCTCCGTGCTTTGGTCACTGCTAAAAAGGATTAAATGTCTCTTCTCCACAAGGATCTTATTCTAGGATTTGAATTAATGAGTTTTGCTGTGATTCCCAGGTGGAGAATGACAGAAAAATGTTAACTTTCCTCTGCAATGGACTGGTACCCTCCCCTAACTGTCTCTGCCTGTCCTGAAGACATGCGCTCAGCTCTCGCTGAGAGGTCTCGTTTCCAAACATCGTTAGATGTCTTGTCTTCAGAACTGAAGTCAGGACAATGTGTTGCCTCCTTTAATTGCAGTCTGAGAATTAGTTTCAGATGTGGAAGAATACAACAGAAAGAAGTTGGGAGCATTTCTGTGTGGCTCTCATTTTGTATAAAGATGACTTAAAAAGAATCGTATATTTATTTTAAAAATAAATGTTTGGGAGAGAAGAGGCATCCAAAAGTCTTCACTGAAAGTCTCCTGTAGCTGCCAACAGTCTAAAAGAGGAGTTAAATTTTGGAGTTTCAGCCTCTGATTCCGGAATATCCAGATCAATACTTAGTCAGAATCCAAAACCATCTGAATTAATTGTAGGGCTGTTCAAGCTAATGCTAATTGCATGTTTACAAACTTCCATCTACTTGGGGCAAAAATGTATGGCTCACTTCCCTGTAGTAACCCAGGGAGGATGAATTCCCTGCTTTGATGGAGTATCAGCTTGGAGCTTGAGAGCATTTGAATGCACCTGTTGTGCAAACGACCACACTGATGGATGCTGAGTTCTGGGTGTTCTCCAGCCTGCTGACACTGCAATGACTGAAGGTTCTGTGGGAGCATTTCAGCAATTGTTTTTGTTGATTTAACCTTGCTACATAATGTCTTAATTGTACAAAGCAGTTTTATGAGCCTGTTGTATTTTATAGGGCTTAGCTGCCCTTGCAGAGCGTGCAGCATGGACAGCTGTGTGCTTCCCAGCTTGGATCTGGCACTGAGGAGGCATTGGCAAAGGTGTTCCAGCACTGGGCAGGCTGTCTGCCTGCTGTTCTTGGTGTGTGCTATCACCTCTCCCCTTCTGGTTTTCTGATGTGATTAAAGCTGACTCAGGTGGGATGGAAGTTAGTGGCTGCAGTTGTACTGTCTGCTGGGACATGGACTTGAAGGCTGGAGTCAACTCTTAGTTCATGTGACCGTGGAGTTTGAGAGCCGGGTCCCTTGGCTGGTGCTGCAGTGGTGGCAGCAGGACCTCCAGAGGGGTTCATCAGAGACCTGTGCAGGGCCTGGAGCAGAACTCCACTGCAGGACTTAGCAGAATTAAGCAGCAGTTCCATGTAGGGGTTTTAAACTGACTTGAGCCTGTACTGCAGTCGAAAAGGGTGGTTCAGGGCTGTGGTTAGCAGGGGGTCAGCGTCTCTTGTCACTGGCCACACAGTCTTAGAACAGTTTAAGCTGCTTGTGAGACCACGTCATTGTCACCTAAATAAATGTCCTTCCTCCCCAGAGAGGTGGGAGGAGAGACTGCAAACTGAACAGACTCTACAACACGTAGTTTTGAGGCTTCTGTTCTCCAAGTGAGAAGTTAATACAAAGATCCGTGGCTCAGCTTGGACCTTCATTTAGGGAGATTAACTTCCTGTGGAGATGTTCTCAGAGTCAGCTTCCTCTCTGGCCAAGATTACTTCAGTATGAGTTATGGATGGGATGGAAGTAACGTTTGGCTTAAAACTAAAAACTTGTGTATCTTTAACTTTCTTTGCTTTAGAAAACAGTTTTAGCATTGCAGGAACAGGTTGAATATACTTGTTACTTCCTAAAGAAACTGGAGAACTACCTGTTACTGAAACCTCTTTTTTTTTTTTTTTTCCTTTTGCAGGAGAAGCTGCAGGTTATTTAATGACCAAATAAGGTCTCCATTCCCCTGATTTGTCTGATATGCTTTTCCTGGAGCCATGGATGAATACAACCGCTTCGTGGATTGGGACAAGATGGATGTTACTGCCCAGAGCCAGGATGCGAAGGAGCTGACCTGCACGGAGTTCCAGGAGCTGAAGCAGCTGGCCCGGCAGGGCTACTGGGCCAAGAACCACTCTCTGAGAGCCAAAGTGTACCACAAGCTCATCAGCAGCATCCCGTGCCGCACGGTGACCCCGGACGCGAACGTGTACCGGGACATCGTGGTGAAGATCGTCGGGAGGCGCAGCAGCAGCTCCCTCCCCCTGCCGGAGTTCGTGGACGACAGCCTGGTGCCCTCGTACTGCCTGAACGCGGAGGGCGTGGGGGCGGTCAGGAAGATCATCCTGTGCGTGGCCAACCAGTTCCCCGACATCTCCTTCTGCCCGGCGCTGCCCGCCGTGGCCGCCCTGCTGCTGCACTACAGCAGGGACGAGGCAGAGTGCTTCGAGCAGGTCTGCCGCATCCTGGCCTGCAACGACCCCTCCAGGCGGCTCATCGACCAGACCTTCCTGGCCTTCGAGTCCTCCTGCATGACCTTCGGGGACCTGGTGAACAAGTACTGCCAGGCGGCGCACAAGCGCATGGTGGCGGTGTCGGAGGACGTGCTGGAGGTGTACTCCGACTGGCAGCGCTGGCTCTTCGGGGAGCTGCCCATGGCCTACGTCGCGCGGGTCTTCGACGTGTTCCTGGTGGAGGGCTACAAAGTTCTCTACCGTGTGGCGCTGGCCCTGCTGAAGTTTTTCCACAAGGTGAGGGCCGGGCAGCCGCTGGAGTCTGACAGCGTGCAGCAGGACATCCGAGCCTTCGTCAGGGACATTGCCAAGTCGGTGTCTCCAGAGAGGCTTCTGGAAAAGGCCTTTGCCATCCGCCTCTTCTCGCGCAAGGAGATCCAGCTTCTGCAGATGGCCAACGAGAAGGCTCTGCAGCAGAAGGGCATCACAGTCAAACAGAAGAGGTAGGGCTCTTCCGCAGGCAGCCTGAGGGATCTCCTGGGTTTTGCCAGTGTGAGGAGCACTCGGTGAGTGCTGGGTGACCAGCGGGGAAGTTCTGCTGGGACACCCTGCTGATTTTATTTTTTCTCTGCAGAAAAAGGCAGCAGCCCCAAAGTTAAGGACTGCTGGGATTGTCATGAGAAGTGTGACTGAAATGTTATGATACGAGAGAAACAAAGCAGTTTCTCATCACCTACTCTGTGGTGAATTTTTAATTGCCTTTTACAGGTACATATTAATTGCAAGGATTCCATCTCAAAAGTGTCTTTCACAAGCTGGTTTTAAACTGAAAGGCATTTTAGCAAAGCTGGAAGAAATATGGATAATTTACTTGGAAGAAAAGTACCCAAACAAATGTGAAAATTACTTCTGAAATAGGAGATGTTTGTATAAAATGCCCATTTCGTGCTGCCCAGTACTGTGAATTCAGCAGTTTCTTTAGTGTGAGCAGGCAAACACTGTCCCAGCTGGGAAGGTTTTGCTGAACTGGGGAGTTCTTTTAACAGAGGAAGGAAGAAATAAATCTTACTTTTAAAATTAGCTTGACTGCAAGCCTCCTGAAAGTCAGGAGTGTAGTAATCATAGGTAGGAACTGACCTATTTTGTGACAGGTCCATGTACTCTTAGAAGTAATAATGGTTGTCGAAGAACCACGGACAAGAGGAGTGAGGATACTGAGCCAAAGGATGATTGCACAATTTCTTTTCAGCAGTGAGGGGAGGAGAAGCCAGCTGTAAAACCAGGAAATGAAATGCCACTACAGTGTGGTTGTAAAAGCCACAACAATAAAAATCTTAGCTGAAAGACCTCTCCACATAGATGGGAACAGCAGCAATATATGAATCTGAACAAAGTCGACATCCTGCCAAGTGCAGGTGTATGTGCAGGTAAATGGTGGTGGTGCAGACATGTTCTCTTCCTCTGTGACCACAGAAAACTTAGCCCAGACACTTTTGAAATGAAAATGTTATCAGCTGAAGGGAGGAATGCTCCTAGAAGCCTACTGGAGTCAGTAAGGGTAAAGTCTAGTACTTGGTATTTTAAAGGGACAGTGTTTCATTTTCTCTAAATCTTCAAAAATCAAAAGGTACCAGCCACTGGTGTATTAGGATCTTGCAGCCAGTTGTGTTGCTGAGTTAGCTGTGGTAGCTGCAAAGAGGTGTCATTCCATGCCACTGAGAGAGGCACTGAGTACTGAGCAGATTGCAGCCTGTAAGATACCATCAGTGTTAGCTGAACCTCCTTCCTCTGCCTAAATGCAAGTTTCCTCCAATCTTTTCCAGGGGGTTACTTCTAGGCTCACAGTTTGGTTTACAACTAGCTTATCCTTTGTTTTGCTCACGTCTTGGAAGAGACTGCTCTGCTAGTCCCAAACATTTCAAGGCCTTTAGCCACTGGAATTTCACATCAGGTAGAGTTCAGGCCATTGTATTTGGGACTTGCAACCAGAAAGGAGTATCACTACTTCTGATGTGTACCTTTTCTTCCTGGACTGAAGTTCAGGGGAGTTGTAGTATCCTTTTTGAGTGTTCTTCAGCCACAGAATGAGAGCTTTAAATAAAAAATAAAAATAAAAAAAAAATTAAGAAGGGAAAAGAAACCCACACACAAACAAAATTAACAAAAAAAACTCTCAACCAGCCACAAACCCCCAGAAGCTCCTGCTGTGTTAAATGTTGTTGAGCTATCCTTGCTCAGAAAAACAGTGAAGCCTTCAAAGAAAAAATGCAGTAAGTAGGTATCCAGGTGATGCTGGTCACCAGGCAGAGTGGCAGGGGGGG